CCTAAACCCCAAACTTGCTAAAGACCGGACCTAAGATCCGACAGAACCTAGGGCTCCATAATATGCTTTCCTTTTTCACCCAGCGAGCCCAATACCCCTTAATTAAGCAATATACCTTAAACTATAAGGGTCTTGATATTATGGTTTAAGGTATTTTCCTTAATTAAGGGGTATTGGGCGCTCTGGGCAAGTCTTCAAGCAAACGGCCCAAAACCTACAAAACCCTTTACTTGGAGGCCCACGGGACTTAGTAAGTCGGTTATAGGTAGGGTTATAATTGGGGTAGCTCCAGTTAGGGTACTTATAACTCTACTTATAACTTACTTACTAGATCCCCTGGGCCTCCAAACCCTAAACCCTAAACCCTAAACCCTAAACCCAGCGAGCCTTAGACGGAACCATTTAAACGGAACCCTGTCCAGCACGCCTCGAGCTGCAACTCCCAAAAGCTGGCGACTAAACACTGCCGGCAGATCGTGCCCTCACTCCTCGTTGAGCCGATCCCTTCAGCTTACTTGGAGGCCCAGGGGACTTAGTAAGTCGGTTATAAGTAGAGTTATAAGTACCCTAACTGCAGTTAATTCAATGATAACCCTACTTCTAGCCGACTTACTAAGTCCCCTGGGCCTCCAAGCAGGGGCTGAGTATCCCCAAGACGCTTAACCTCTTCAACTACCGGGCCGATTCTAGAGTAGAGCTGTAATACTAAACCCCCAGAGGTTAAAGGTTTAGGTTTTAGGGTTTAGGGTTTAAGGTTTAGGGTTTAGGTAATACTAAACCCCCAGAGGTTAAAGGTCACCCACTAAGGCTCAGTTAGAGTCTTTTAGGTTGAGGGATTTTGGGGGTTTACTGGGTTGTAGTTTTGTGGCACCCAAAAAAAACTCTTTCTGAATTGGTACCTCTATAGGACAATAAGGGAAGCTTGGAAAGTTTAAAGTTTCCCCAAGTGCCACCTACTTTAGGGTTCAATAGGCTAAGCTCTCTGCCAAGAGGTAGAGCGACAATGAAACATCGTTAATGCCTCCCTGAACCCCGCACATCACTGGACCAAAGCTGCCGAGCCATGGCAACATTTGTTTGGAGCGGCCTCTGAACTGTTGCCAACACTTCCGCCCTAACCCGTGCTTTTACACCTGGACTTGATGCATGCCCTAACCCTAAACCCTAAACCCTAAACCGCGCATGCCTCGAGAGCACATGTGTCGATGCCACTGGCCCTCAAACGCCCTCGAACAAGCTAGCCGACAGCTTGTGTATGTATGTGCGTGCGCATGTATGTGTGCATGTAGGTAAGCTAGTACTATGTGTGTGTGTACCTAAATGTATATGTACAGTACATATACATATAGGAACACACACATATCTAACTACACAGGGTATAGAAAGACGTAGACATAGTTGTAGATAGAAAAATAGAGAGAGAGAGAGAGAGAGATACAGACATAAGTATATGTATATATAGAAATAGATACAGATATAGATATAGGTATAGATACAGGTAAAGATATAGATAATGATATAGATAAGATGCTCTGTTCAAAACAAAGCTTGCAGATCCCCAGCGCTCCTGCCCGGGGCTTTCAACAAGTCTGTCATGCCCACGGCGCCTTCCTCCAGTGAAAGCCGCCTTACCTTCCAGAGCAAGGGTGCTCTCAGGAGGGCAAGAGCGTAGGGTCTACCTGGAGGTTCATGGATACTTATAAGGGGAGTTATAAATCTCCTAAGTAGGGTTATAAGTATAGTTGCCCTACTTCTGGTACTTATAACTACTCCTGAACCTCCAAGTAGGGAGTTAAGGCATTGCATTTAGGCTGCTGTCGGGGCTTCTGTTTTAGGTGTTCGCGGGTGGGGGGAGTTTAGGGTGTTGGGGAGCTCGGCTAAATGCATGAAGTCGTGATGAATAGGGAAGCTAGAGATGATAGCTGCAAAAAAGCTCGAATGAGTTTAGGATTTAGGGCTTAGGGGGCCCATGGTCATCCTCATCTCCTTTGCTCGTGTGATTTTATTTAAAGGCCTGGGGAAGGACATGTGTAATTCTTCGACCCCTAAACTAATGCCACCCCCTACTATTCAACGGGGCGGGGGCAATGGAAACTCGGAGAGTGTTTCCATTGATAGTGGAGGTTGGATCTCTACTGTCACTCTCCTCCAGCTTAGGGTCTGAGGTTTAGGGTTTGGGGTGTAGTAGTGTTTAGGGTTTGGGGTGTAGTAGTGTTTAGGGTTTGGGGTTTAGGCAAAAGTGGTTTGGTGGACCCTAAACCCTAAACCCCCAAACCCTAAACCCCTATAAACCTAGTTGAGCTTTTAGGGTCCTGCGTTTGTAACCTTAAACCCCTATAAACCCTAGTTGGAGCTTTAGGGTTTGTCGGGCTCTTACGGCTTGGTGGTATTTCGGGCCCTAGGCCCAAGGGGCTTGATCTTCAGGGTTTTCTGGGTTGTAGGGGCTTGGGGGTTTCGACTTTTAGGGTTTAGGGTTGAGGCTAGCCCCCAACGCCCACTTGCCTGGATACCACACAGTTAGATGCACAGGGATAGCAGCCTATGATTCGTTCTTGGCCGCTGGACCCTAAAGAATAAACTGGGCGCTGGTTTACGTAATGCAAGCTGAGGGCTCGCAACCAGGCTGCCGAAAACCACCCATTACATCATGATCCTGGGATACTGCTGCTTGCAGGAAAAAGCCTCCGTAGTAGACATGAAAGTATACTGCTTAACCAAAGAGCAATTCGGCTCTCTTGGTACCCGTTCTACTACATGTGCCAGGGTTATCCTAAACCCTAAACCGTAAACCCTAAACCCTTGGGCCAATCTGCTCCATGGGTTTCCAACCCAAGTTCCTGACATGAGGAACTACCTTTTGCACAAGGAGGCGTGCGCGGACCCAGAACTTCGGCATCTTCACACCCTTAAGGTGGAAGAGCCATTGTGATCAGGATTTCGTCCGTTTTCACCCCTCTAAGGATTCCGGTGCAGATATGTGAATTACTGGCATACACCACCACAGAAGCACCGTGCACGTACCCGCCACAATTAGGAGTCCGGCCGTGGAAAGCACCATCGACTCTACATACAGCGATGTGGAGGCATACACCGCATCGATGACAGCCCATTGCAGCATGAAGCAGCTCAAAAACATGACCGAACCAATAGTCACGAGACCGACAGCGACAAGCACCCGTGCGAGTGTGCCACTGCACAGCAGCCGTACCTGATAGGCCAGCCGTATGCAAACGAGAGCTATACTCGGTAACACCGCCAGCCAATACAGCATCAAACTGAGGACTGCGTTCGACCATGTTTCCACGTTTACCAGGATCAGATCCAGGACAGACCACAAAACTGGGCTGGTTGCCTGAACAATGCGCCAATATGAGAAGGTGCGGTTTGCCAAATGGTCCACCAATATCTCCAGCAACTTGCTGCGAACAACAGATTCGAACAGTTCGCTGGAACCGAACCACTTGGTGATGCACCGACCAATGATGCTGCGATCACAGATCGTGCGTTGGCCTGTTGTGGGGTCCACGTGGTTCCTCGTGCAACATTGGCTCGAAGAACCCTCCACCTTAAAGTAACGGACCTGCTTCTGCATCGTCTCGATATTGCTGCAGAAAACAAGAAGTACATATGCGAACAAAGTTAAACAGGGAAGGGCCAGCATCGCGACGAGTAGTCCACCCCATGGCCAGAAAGGAACAAGCGGAACAGGCGCGTATGCATAAATGACCATAAGCACGCACAGGCCAAAATGTCCGAGGAGGAACACCGGACCAACTAGAACTGGACAAATCTTAACGTCCTTCTGTGCATCAAACTCGCAACTGTGAAGGAATGCGGCCATTTCGAAGATGCACCATAGCCTAGAAACCAGAGTCGGATCCCATAACACGAGCAAAGTCCGCGACTTCCTGAGTTTTCGCCCAGGATCATAATCTAAATACTGAAGAAACCAAAATTTTTTTATTATAGATGTCTAAACATGGTGCATGAAATTAACCCCAAACCCTGAACCCTTAAGTTTCTTGTAGCAACAGCCCAGCTTCTTCAAGAATGCTCCGATGCTGACCAGGCCCTCGAGCTTCACTTGCACATCGGTCTGGTGTATGCAGGCAATGTCCAGAAAGACAAGCCTGGATAACATATAATGCTATAGTATGCTATGCTGTCAGAAATCTAATTTATAATGATTTAGAAGATTGTATTATGATGCGTTCTGATATATTCTGATCTGTTCTGTTATATGAAATGAGACTGCATTATGTCAAAGTATACGGTATTAAGCTTTATCAGGTTATAGCAGGTGTCCCAATGCTATGTTACATGGTATTTGATTATCTTATTCCCTGTTATGGTATGTTATGTTGTGCGATGCTGTATGGAACTACTATATGGAAGTTCAGTATATCATACTAAACTACATTATACTGTATTGTATTTCACTATATTGTGTTGTATCATATTAATAGTTTAAAATACAACATAGCATAGTATATTGTATTTAGTATGTTTACACATATTTGGTTATGTTCTAGCTTATTATTACATTACTCCGTTTAGATTAGTTGAACTATACTATATTTTATTTGGTTTCGTTCTGTTAGGTTATATTGTAGCTTCGCCGTGCGCTGCATGTAGAGTGGACATGAGGAGAAGTCCCGGCATCGTCTGCACAGACTGCCTGGCATAACAGCTCAAGATAAAGGCCCTAAGCCCTAAACCCTAAACCCCTAAACCCTGAACCCTAAACCGTAAACCCTAAACCCTAAACCCCTAAACCCTAAACCCATAAACCCTAAACGCATAAACCCTAAACCCTAAACCCTAAACCCTAAACCCCTAAACCCTAAACCCTAAACCCCTAAAGCCCTAAACCCCAAAAAGGAAGGGCAGGCTCATGGCTTGTCAGTCAGCAGCAAATTGCAAGTGGGACAGTAAGAAGCTGGGGAGTCTGGTCTGTATTATGACTGTATTATGTTAAATAGGGGTTTAGGGTTTAGGGTTTAGGGTTTAGGGTTTAGGGTTCCAATAAAGGACCACAGAGAAAGTTAAAAAGCTTCCGGAAGTGCCAGCTAGAGGCTTCCAGCGTTGCCAAAGCAGCAGGGTCAAGTAGTAGCCTCCAGTCCCACATAAGGTGCATGCGCCCGCCGAATGAAGGAGGCCTGCTACACAGAGAGAGAACGCCAAACCGGCACTGAGTGTGCCCACGACGAAGGCCGCAAAGCCATTGTTGAGAAAGACAACGCTGAAATACTTCGCCGCAGGATGGATGTGCCAGCTGTGACACCAAAACTCGTCAAGCGAAGTCGTGACCTCACTGTCAGCATGGAGCCTGTGCAGCGCTCCTTGCATCCAATCGCGGGGACCACCTTGCAGGACTCGAAAGATGCGGATGCCCCGCACGACCTGAGGCCTAGTGGCCAACATCTGGGTCATGAGCAGGATGTGACGGCCGAGGACCGGGTGCCAGGGATCTTCCCATATGTCCTCGGGAGATGTCTCCGGCGCTGGTATGGAGGTCATTGAGACCTCACGGGCCTCGTCCGGAACGCTCCAGGAGAGCTCGGAGGTTTCTTGCACATCCGCAGCGTCACCGGCAAAAGCATTCTCAGAGGGCTTTCCCAAAAAGACCTCGAGGCCACGATCAGGCATCTTGGCACAGCAGTAGCAGTCGCCGAGGACCATGGGAACCCCCAAAATAGTATAGGTAATTATTTAGGCCCCTATATTAACTGTCAACTTCAACGTCCACGGTCCGGGCTCGTAGCATCATGCTTCTTGGGTACGGCTTGCCACACACGAGCAAAACGTTGCGGCTTGAGCTCCATGAAGAGATGCTTCTCAACTTGAGTACTGCTGGTGCCCGCATAAGTCACGTGCATTGCTGTGCGTGAGATCCTTTGTTGCGAGCCAAACACTGCTTCGATTCGACTGCCGGAGGCACCGGTAAAGTTTGCCACGGTAACTTCTAGCACTTCCAACCCTAAAACCTAAACCTTAAACCCTCAACCCTATATCTTTTGCTAGAATCAGAAGAGTTCGTGTCCTTACGAAACCACAGTACATAAAGCTTAGACTTCTAGAACCTGCTTCTACAACTACCTCAGGGTTTGATCCTTCAAGTTTCTTTCATGGCCGTACACCCCAAAACCCAAAGCCGCGAACGAAAAGAAACCCGTCCGCATAGAAGAACCCTCAAAGGCTCTAAGGAGGAATTCCTGGGCCCAAGGGGTCCTAAGTACCTATAAGGCCATATTAGCAATTCCCTGTAAAGAAGGCCCTACATTCTACCGTGTAGGTACTTAGGACCCTAGAAGGAAAAAAAACCCTCAAAGTACCCTCAAGGAGCACACTTAAATCCTAAATCCAAAGCCTTTGAGGGAGCCCCTTGTAGTAGCCCTTCTAGTAACCCTTGCAGGAGCCCTTTAACGGAGCCAGGCAGGGTGCGTTGCAGTAGCCGTCGGTGTCACCACGAGGCTCCCCGGCAGCAGCAAGCATCGACGACCTCGAGCGTCGATGCTTCAAGTGTTCCGTTTTGAGGGTTCCTTACTCCCAAAAGGTCTTTAGTATCTGTATAGTAGATTAGGGACTACTAACTACTAGTCTGGTCTGGGCATGTATCCCCCATATAGGTACTACGGACCCTTTGGGATTTGGCGTTCGTTCAGGAACTCCGCTACAGGCTCCCATACAGGATTTTCGAGAGCCCTCTGGAGTTAATTCCTGTTTCGTGCTCCTTATGGACATCCGAGTCGGGGGTTTATAGGGGTTCATGGTTGGGGGTTCGGGCGTGCCTTTACAGAATTTAAAACTCCCACACAAAACTCGCAATTCCTCAAAACAAGCTTAATCACAACAAACGACTTATCGTGCCTTCATCACTCAGGATGATCTTAGGGATCTGATGATAACGGCCCTTACAGAAAAGGCCTTTCTTTGGGCTCCGAGTCTCCTTCCTTGCTAGTATATATTAGAGTGAGGGGGTCACGCGGCAAGTAAGAGTTCTTTGCAGAACACCCTATCATGGTTAGGGCTTATGTATAAAGTTGCCATATGGGACCCTTGCCAAGGTTGCTGTTAGGCCTGCGTTAAGGCTTACTGTAAGGGATACGATTTGCGCGTGGAAGCTTCAGGGACATGTAAGTTCAACCCACTGGCTTTGCAACATGTCTGGGCTGGATCCAGACACCCCGGCTCTGCTCATGGAGCAGAGCATCGCGTGAGTACAACACCATGCTCACGGCCACCCACCCAAACCAACAGAACTGCTAAGAGCCTGCCCAGAGCCGCGATGCCTAGTAGTGTAAACTTCTGCATAAGGATTCGTTGTAGTCAATTTCTTGTTGCAATAGACGTCACAACGGCTCAGACATTGTGGCTATGCTGTGCTGCACAGCGGACATCTTGTGCTCGTACCCAAACCCTCAGTCCAAGTTGCTTGTCGCTGTTCTGTGCTGTCAAAATTCCGACACGTAACCGATGTCAACCAGATTTACTAACTATAGCAACTACAGGTGAGGTAGGCCAGGCAATATATTGTAAACCAAGCTAGCTGCTGAAAGCACCCAAAGCGTTACTTTAGTGCTGTAGCGCTGCATAGTCCCACTATAGCAACAGCACAAAAAAGGAGCTTTGCGTGCCTGTGCAACTCCTAGAAGCCAATCTGTCTCCATGGCATCCCCCTTCAAATAGCTGGAGAGCCAAAATTCCGGAGCACTCTGTACTTCCATGGCTGAGCTATTCATCATGCCCAATTGGAACCAAGGGAACAGTCTGTGGTTTGTCAATTATTCAAGCCACTAAATTAGTGGTCTCACCACATCATTATCTGATCTGGTCAACGGCAGCAACCTAGATGGCTTAACGACTTCTCCGGACCCCGCAACACCCATCTATGTCAGTATATGGGTAGTTCTCCAAATTAGGGTCCCTTTTGGGGTCCTTTTTATAAGGGCGCCGTACTATATTGGGGACATAAAAAGGGACCCTAATTTAGAAAACTACCCATATGACCTGTAGCAGAATCACGCCAAGCAGGTAGATTCTGCAGGGTCCACATACTTGGAGGTTCATGGGTAGTTATAAGTGGGGTTATCAGTTCCCTAATATGGGTTATAATTACAGTTACCCTACTTATAACCCTACTTATAACTACCCCTAAACCTAAACCCTATAGAACCCTTAAGTACATAGTTACCCTACTTATAACGCTACTTATAACTACCCATGAACCTCCACATAAAGTATGATCTAAGGTCGAAAGTCGACCGCCTCAGCTCACAGTGTACGAAAACACTCAGAGAGCCCAATACCCCTTACTTAAGCAATACCTTAAGAACCCAAAACCCACTTTTTTGTAGGTTGTTATTGTAAACCCGAATATGGGATTTATAGGGACCCTACAGAAAAGTAGGTTTGGGGTTCTTCAGGTATACCTTAACTATAAGAGGCTTATTATTATGATTTAAGGTATATTCCTTACTTAAGGGGTATTGGGATCTCTGGGCATGTCAGTGCAAGCAACCATGTATAGCTACGACACAATAGCTACTGCAGACAAGAGTTGTCCCAAATTTGATACTCTCAGGGCCTTTGAACAGGCAGGTGGGTGCAAGTAGAGCTCAAGTTCAGAACGCCCCTGCCTCCACATAGGGTTCAGGGTTTAGGGAAAGGACAAGGCCCCAGCTCACGCAACAAGTATGTACGGCACAGCATCCGGAACTTCGGGGCGACAGTCAGGTAAGAGATCACGCAAGATACTAGAGTTCTCCAATTAAGCACTCAGCCGCGAAAGAGAATGGACATAGTCCGTCGTTTTTCGTACCCCAGTATATATCCCTAGGGTCTTTGGCCTTAAAGCAGTCCCTATATAGGTACTTTGGGGCCAAAAATCTATACTATTTGGGTACATGGACCCTTAGGGTATGTGCTTCCGAACGTCCATTCAACACACTGAACCCAAAACCCCAGCACAGCAGTCTGAAGAAGTCGAAATATGGACTTAGGGGCTGAGTGTTCTAGCCACGGTTTAGGCTTTAGGGTTAACCTTTTGAATTATAAAAAGGATTAGAAGAGCCCCAAAAGGTTAAAGGTTACCTACTCAGCCACGGAGAGGATTTCGGGGTGCACATGGCTCTCCATCGGGGATACAGCGGGCTCAAGTGACTTAACCCAGTCCCAGACCATTAACGTCTGGAGTCGCCTGAACCCACAAGAAGCATTGAAGCTGGCTCGCTTTGCTGTAATAGGGTTTAGGGTTTAGGGTGTAAGAACTTAGCCCTTGCGACAACCTAACAAAAATCCGAAACCAGTTCTTATTATTATGACCCCCTAACCGGACTCATGCCAACGCCTCTCAACCGTGTTGCCGCATTCCTGCCGGAATCCTCGAGGCATCCACCAGGCGGCACAGGAAATCAATCTGGGTATGGTTACAGTTCGTAGAAACGTACAAACACACACACACATATATATATATATATATATACATGTATGTATGCATATGTACATGTATTTGGATAGCATATATATATATACACAAGCATAATCAACTTATGTATGATATGTCTGTATATGTATATACTCTCCTACCTAAGGCTAACATCAAGTTGGGTGCTTGATTTTCAAGCCACAGGTCAGCGGTACATCTTGAGGGGTGGTACGCATCTAGGTCTGGAGCCATGACAGCCGCTCTTGTCACTGTGCTTCACGCACTACTGCCAAAGCATGCAAAAGGAGGAGACACTTTGCTTGGAGGGTCGGGGGACCTAGTAAGTAGTTCCTTTAAAGAGTTGTAAGGGTCATGACCCCAATTAGGATCCCTTTTGGGATACGTATAACTCCACGTATTACCTGCTTACTAAGTCCCCCGACCCTAGTAACTCTAGTGGGAACATCGAAGCAGTCGGCTACGTCCTTGCCACGTTGGCTGCGATGGTTCGTCGCTCGCCGTTGCCGCGGAAAGGCCACACGAAGTGCTGGACCTTGGCATGTCTGTCAGGTCTGTCAAGCCAGCATCTGTCAAGATTCGTGCGGGGTGCCGGTAGGTTTCGGGATTCATTTAAGGCGTACTGTAACCATCGAGAAGCACGCGCTTACCTGCTTTCTGCATGCATGATTACATACACACAAACATATGTACCTTTGCACACGCATACTTACGTACAACACTCCATACATACATACGTACATACATACATACATACATACATACATACATACATACATATATACATGTATATATGCATATAATATACATATACATATACATATACATATACATATACATATACATACGTATAGGAACCCTGGCCAAATCTGGCCAAGCCCTGAACGAAAAGATCGACAACCAAAGCCTGCAACCGAGGCACCCATTGTGGGAAGACGTGCAAATAGCCCTCCTGATCGGAGGTCGAAGGCTGGGCAAACAGCTTTGGGAGCTTATAGGATTAGGGGGACCCTTGAAAAAAAAAAACCTCTCAATAAGGTCCCTTATAAGAGAGCCAGAAGCAGGGTTCAGAAGGGTACCCTTTAAGGGGTCTCCCTAGTACTACCCAGGACAAACAGCTTCTCACGCTTCTCGGAACTGTTGACTTGGGCAGGACCATAGCTTGGGGTTTAGGGGTTTAGGGTTTAGGGTTTAGGGTTTAGGGGTTTAGGGTTTAGGGTACAACGAGAAATGGTAA